CTCACTCCAACCCTGTGCGCCGATTCACACATTCAGTTTCAACTGTTCGGATCCCCAGGCTAACGATTTCCTAGCCAGTCAATCAAAATTAACCGGTGGCCGATTTCAAAGTCTCAACCATGATAACGACAACGTCATAGCCCATGAGGTGTGTCCAAGAGGATCAGTTTCAATATAGTACATTGGCAGAATGATTAGCTGCTTTATAGTTTAGTAATGACACAACCCTGCATCTGTGTTGCGCTTCTTATGTAGTAGACTGCCAACCTTGGACTTCATGACTTTAGTTTTGAGGTCTAAATCTAGTGCATATATTCGATTTGAATGAAACATCAGGAGGGGGGCCACGAAACGACCAGTCACAAAGTAATCACGTTTTGAAAATACAAACGAACATTAGATCGGCCCCAGAAGTTACTAATGCATGGAAAGGTATACCCCCAAATCTTCCTTTAGACTTAAAACCAACAAACCAGCGTCATAAGAAGTCATTAAAAAGAAGCATCAGTACAAATTCTAAGAAAGTCACAACGGGAGTGAACGATATTGAGGGAAAACAGGTAGCGCGGAATTCGCGTGACGGTTACCAGAACCTAGATTGCTTGCTTGATTCACACTAAGAGGTATAAAAGCGTGAGTCAATACTTGGTAAAAAAAAACAACTATTCAGGTAATAATAATGCACGAGTATTGAGATGATGTGAAGTGTAATGGAGGCCCAGCGATATTACATGACCTGGCGTGGTTCTTAGGGAAGCAAGAACTATGACAACCGAAGGACAGCTGAATTGCACACTTTGGCTGAGAATGGATGAGGGTGACAACAGAGCATGTGACTTATTGTTATATTCATTATCCAAGCAACAATTTCACAGCACGACACCGTGATCAAGATGAAATCAAACAAAGTACTAACATCCCTCTGAAAGGACGTAAGCAAAGGGGAACATTTGAGATCGTACTTAATCATTAAAAAAACCATTTAACGGGAAGCCATCACCACCAAAGACCCAGCACATGCAGATAATCAACAGCTTAAGAAAGGTAATAGTAATTGATTTGTGAAGTATTTAGGTGCCAAGTCACCTACTGATGCTGGCTTTCGCACAAACTGCGCATCCTTAAATGGACTATTTGGAAGAGTTTTGGCGAGCTGACGGAGGCGACTGATAGGAAGAATGTGGGCCTGTGTCGTGAAAAGGTAGTCTTCTTCAAACACGTTCAGTGGATGGGTTTCATCGAAGAGCTGTGTAACATTGGTGTAAAACAGCAAGGAAGGTCAGTGCGACAAATGAAAATTCAGCCACATAGACGAAAAATGAAATCATTTTACGAGAAAGAAAAATCACCTCGATGGGAAGAGAGGATACTTTAGTCCTAGTTTTATTATGAGTTCAAAATTACGTACGATCAGACTGTCAAATATCGCACAAGAAACATCAACATCCTATCGAAAAGACGTTGACCCGTTTATAAACGCCATATCCAGTTCTGTGGTGGTGTGTTATCATGACTTTTCAAATCGGAAGAAGCCCAAATCTTAACTTCAGTGGGCCGAGGGACGGTCAGCAAAAAGACCTCATCATTCGAAGCACCTGATCAAGTCTAGACATAATCATTTTTTGGAATAAATAATGATAGAGCTCACGTCCCCGACAAAATGCAAAACTTGTCAAGAACAGGGTACTCGAAAAAGTACACTTACGAGGTAGAGGTACTTAAGAGTTTCACTCAGGAAAAAACTCTCCATACGATCTTCATGACTCATGTCTTTAACATCATGAATCGTGGCAAAGCCACATCTAAATGCACAAGAAAGACGCTCTAAATAAATTGAGATGATTGGTACAAAAGTAGTCTAACAAACTCAACGGTAAAGGAGACACCAAATAGGAACCTCTTGAAAGTAAACTTACTCGGAACGGTAGATCTGTAAATAAATTAGTTTTGTGTGGACAAGGCTTGTAAGCAGGAAATACTAATTTTGAAAGTTTAGACAACTTTCTTTAGTTACGGCTCAGCAGGTCGGAGGGTCGGTTCTGCTACACGCGCCGACATCCCCTGTCTACATCTCGCAACTGCTGGCCGCTTATTAAGCCTCCAGCAATCGTCACACGGAAATTAAGGCGGCTGCAGCCCCCACCAGTCTCGGTCGAAAAAGGCAAGCAGCTTTTGTGTGTGGAAGGTGCTACTAAGATACATTGCCAGCAATCTTCCGCGACGTACAGACATTTCTCCAAGTACCACAATACCGGCAAAATGGATGACGAACACAGACATTGCAATAAATTTCCCTATTCTGACACAATGGACGAAGAGCATAGCTTACTTGGCACGGGCATACTGATCGAGATTGTTAACTATCATGGCTCCGATAGTGCGGTAAACCGGATCCTTGGTCGCCCGATACAAGTAATACGTGGATTCAGCGAATTCGGGGCGAAGGGGAAAAAATGCGAGTTCCGGTTTATTCAAAAAAATGTTGAAACGCTCAGGAGGCAAACCGAAACGTTTCCAGATTGACAGATGGAGCTCATACTGACATTTAGCGTCCTGGAGCTCGCCATTCATGGCCTAAAATAGAGTAACAGTTAGAACATTTAAATATGCAAGTCTCCTCTATAGTCCACTGATATCCACTATGTGAAGTTACTGCTGCCGTCTTTTGTAAGTAAAAGAGTGCCCCTTTAGGTCCCAAAAACCGATTACCACAACGGCTGGACTCGAAAAGGTCCACCAATAATGCTACTAGAAAATCTGGCTTCCGTTTGAAATCGACTTAGATGACTCAAGTTAGGTAAAATTTAATTTACAACACTTCAACCAGACTGAGACAAGTACTAAATACAAATTGAGACTAAAGGCCTGTAGTTCTTTAAATTAAAACCCTTTTTAGGAACTAGTTCATCAGGCGAAAAAGGAAGCTAGCAGAGTATCATTACGAAAGCGTGGCGATTGGACGATCTCAATGAGCTCTCATGTTCCTTTGGCAACCTAATAGAATGTTCGATAATGCTCATCGACACATTTTTGTTAAGCATTGTTGGGGTCGGAATTCTTGCTGCTAGACAGCTTATATTTAACAAAGCATTCAAATGTTTCAGTTTAACGACTCGCCTCAGTGACCGCTATCTCATACTTCATGCTTGAGAATCACTTCATTTTAAAAAGTGTACCCTTATTGATATTTCTGCTGCATGTCTTTATTCCGGTGACCAATTTCCACCTCTAACCAGGATCAGGATGCCTTTGGAATAACCTCTATACGAATCTGCTTGCAAATCGAAACGAGTCAGAACCAGTTAAATGAGGCTAAAGAAACAGATTAGATAATTTCAGGCGACAGTGGACACGAAGTGTGTCCTTTGGTGCGTGAGCAGACCAGTGAAAGGTAGGGATTAGTCTCAAATACCAATCAACTAGTGGAAAACCTGTTCGGACAAGCTTTGGCTCAGAAGCGTTCGCTGCCGGTCCACGACAGGTCTGTGTGTGAATATATGTACATAGAATTTTAGATATGATTGAAAGTAAAGAATAAAAATGCCTTTTTTCTGCTTTATTCGCGATATTTTTGTTAATCCAAGGATGCAGTACTGGAGTCTACAGAACTAATTCTTGGCTTCAGATCTAGGAGGCCGTCATAAGAAATCGTCATGTTCAATATCTTCGTTTGTCATTTAATTATAGCACTAGAAGTGAGATTAATCATATGGAGGCCATTCAAGACACCTCAGAGAATCATGGAGTTGTGAACAATAACTTCTTGAAAACCAACAAATGCACTGCCAGATTAATTGAATAGCTATTTAGGCGCCATACATCGTGCAACTCACAGAGATCTACACGAAAAATCCTGCCTCCACAAGCAGAGGCGGTCATTGAATTCAAATAAGGAGAAGTATCTGACCGACTCCAAGAAGCTGTTTATTGTATCAAATACACAGGAAATAAAAACGTCGACCAGAAGTGACTGATGATGGTGGTGGTTCCAAGACCCTAGTTTCTGCGCACAAAGTTCCCATTCTCCGTCGTGATTACAACTGTGAACTAACTCGAGCGGGAAGTCATGGCTCCTTCACTTCTTCGAGGAGGGTCCATCAGTCAGCGCAAACCAGCGATCAAAATGCTGAACCCGAGAGTCAAAACTAATCGCAGCCACGCGGTTTCGAACTCACAAGTGGAATTGAGCACATCTAGTCCCCAATTACGGGTGTGTGGCGGAGATTCGGAGAAGTAGAAACAGGAAACAAAGCTATTATTGAGTGCTCATTAATTGTTGACATTTTGATGCCAATACGAAAAGAGGATAAAGGAAATTTCATTCAGCAGTCAACTCTTAAACTATTCAACTGAATGCACTGCTGGATTACACTCAAGGGGTTAAATTTTAAGGAGTGCAATTCGATTTCTGCAGAACTTGCACAATAGGGTTTTTACATGTGTCGTCTCACTTATGTTGTGATTAAATATAGAGGAAAATTCAAGGGTTTTAATACTAGGCCAACATTTTCACGCTTGATTTATTGATGTCCTTAAACAGTAACCGGTTCTTACTTTGGGCGATTTAGCCCCACTCATCCCATGTTCTTGTAACAAAGGAAGCCCCCCCCCCGTTCGTGACATAATAAATATGCAGAATGAGTAAAATGTTTACTTCACCTCAGAGGTTCACTGAAAAACATGGATGTTTTCCGCATTTACAAATGCCCCAGATACTTGCTCGGCAAAGTTAGGCTGCTAATGGTACCAAAATATCTGCACAAATTTTCCATTTTGAAGTTGAGATTTCAGGTAAACTGACAACAGATCTTATAACTACGACTGCGGGGAAAATGACAAGACGCAAAGGTAGCTTTAATTGCCTTCTTGTGTTTTACCTTTAACACGACTACTCTTCTTAAACCCTTCAATTTGAGAGTAATGACCTCCACAATTGCGGTACTAGATGTAGTTTAGTAAGAAATCACTTTTAGCAAATGATTCATAAACTCGATCGTTTTTCACCTGAGTTGCGAAAGAAAAAAAAGGAAAATATTTTATCACACAAGTTTACTCAAGTCACGGGAGAGAAAGCATTGAGTCATCAAATATATCCCATGGAGTTCAAAAAGTCCAATATTTTAGAGGGGAAGCGTGGGGTTTTGTGTGTCCGTTTCACGAATAATGTTGGTGTAGACTCGAAGTTTTTAAAAAGATATTCGTCGAGTGATTTTAACGCTATGATCTTGTCACCGCGTCCAAATTCAACACGCCACACCAAGTTGCGCTCTCCGTTGACGCTCTATCCATTTTTTGAGAACTAGCGTGTCTACTACCGTTTCTGTACCTTAATATCCCTAAGTTCAATTCTTCAAATGGTTGTGCGTGAGAGGGGACTCCCTTGTCTGTGTCATTTGAATTTTACTAAACAAAAGCCGAAAGGATTGTCTCTGGCCTCCACCACGCAGTCTCTAAGCGAGTATTCGCGTAACTGCATTCTGCAGCCCTAGGGTCCTGAAAATATCAAGGAAAATCATGCGCCTAAATGGCTTAATGTGGTAGCTAATTTACAACAATTAAAAACGGCGAAAATGCGGAGCTTTTCGAATTGGTATTGACCATGTGCAGGAGTCACAATTCGAGCAGTGACCTTATCAAGGAAGACGAGTTTGTCGCTAAAGCGCGTGGGACGGTGGGGAGCAACCCTCACAAATTGATGAAGACGCTTCGTTTGGCCATCGTACCACTTCGAGGAGTGAGTGCACCGGAGAGTAGCGCACTAAAGTGAAGCTTTGAGTGGTAAGTGAGGGCAGGAATTTTGTCTGGCCCTCACGCCACCAAATTGACGCATGGGTGGCTAGGGAGTGGGTCGGACCACTGTTGTCCTCTGACATCTGACCCACCGCCTACCCTAAATGCAAGTCTGATGGGAGGAGCTGACGAGAGCTGTCTCAACGCCCTCGACTCCCTCCGAGTGCCCAACACGGACGGGAGAGTCGAGTTGTCAAAGTCTATGCTCGACTCAAGCATCAGAGCCATCATCAGTGCCAGTAAGGACATTTCATGGCTTGGTTTTGCTCAATTCACTTTTTTCTAAGATACAGTATTCGAAAACGATGACCTCATTTTCATTTGAATGTTTTCCTTGGCTGGTTTGAAACACTTTTAAACATTAAGGGGTGGATTAATGTGAAAGTATATTTGAAAGTGCCGAGGAACACTTACGATTTCTTACGCAATCTTTTCGGCTGACTTCAGACAAGATTCAAATTTGTGACCCCTCAAATAATAGTCAGTGTTGCCAGAATGACCTTCTATTGTGGTACCTAATGCGTAAGTTCACTAGTGGCAATACTTTTTTTACATCCAAGCTTCACCTTGAGCATCTAAATACCACAACACGTATCCAAAAAAAACTAAAACTCTTGGTCTACAAAAAGATGGCATACAAGCTGTAGGGTCTGTGTCAGACTCAGCGTTACGTCATTTCAAATTAAAAATAATGAGAGCTAGTCTGAATCGAATGCTGATAAACTGCCAGCAGTTTCGGATGTGTTTTTGTGCTAACTTTGCTTTCATAATACAGCATACAAGAAGGCACGTTGATCTAAACCGACGAAAAAGGGTTCATCTGTTAATAATAAGCAAGGAGAACGGAAATATTAGCGGTGACTTACGAGGATCCCGGGCCAGACTGATTGTAGTGTATCAACCCAATAGTTGGCTAATTCTCCGGTGAACATGTTAATATTCCAGTAGACTGATGGGTAGCCATTTGAGCTCACGCAGTTATTCGCCGAAGAATTTCCACGCAACCTAAGCCGCATGCTACCCAAAACTTCTTCAAATATTTGGCTCAGTTCCGTGTCACCAAAAAGTATTCCCCCCTAAAGAAACAATATTTTAAAATTATTTGTGCATCTTTAACAAAGTTAAAAACAACAGGAAAGGTTTCACACATTATTTAGGATATCGGATATAACTCCTACAACTCCAACCGAGTTATTTTAGAAAACGCGTCTTGAACAAAAGCGACATAAAATCCCGACTTCGGGCCTCGGCTGCTTTAGGCATCTCCTCAGACTACTGCTGGTTATGCCCCTGGGATAAATGGGTTACGTAATGGCAGTTGTAATTTGGTAAATGTACATCAATGAAAAACTGCCACAAATAGGCAACGCAGGGTTGGTTTCATGACCGAATGAAAGACTGACACACAAAACAGACAAGCCCCAGCACTTTCTTGTGCATCAACATCAATAACACCCAAGGATAGTGAATCGCAAAATCACCACTCTCACTCAAGGAATTAGCATAGCTTAGGCACAGAAAGTACTAAAATATTTTAGTTACTTTTAACAGATATTCATAGAAAGAATCTTGCCCGGCACCGACGCCCGAAGTCGGATTGATCCACTGGCCTGTATAGACGTTAATATCAGTGCCTAAAAGTAAGTAAAGTTTGTACTTAGATTGAAACGTATGGATACTGCCACCAAGCCATTATTTTCCTAGCCTTTTTTACGAGTATTACAATGTCGACGACAATACAACTGCTTCTAATTGAGGGCTTGTAGGGTAACAACTAATCACGAAATCGGGATTTCTCAAAAAGAATTCAAGACCACTTTGTGTGGTGAACATGTTACCGATGTGCTGCTACTGAACAACGCACCGTGCGATCATTATCCGAATTTCACGTACAACATGCATTCGACTTACATAGAGAAGATACAGCCGGCTCATACTTTTGCCCCCATGTCATTTATACAGTACTTCCGAGAAATCAGTATTCCACCAATACCTAGCGTTCCAAGAAACATAAAACCATTTTATTTCTCTTAACAAACAGATAGGACAATTAAAATTCCAATGTCTTTCTAAATTTGTCACTAACGTACTGTATACAAGTTGCCTGGTGATGACGAATGATGGTCAAAATATACAATAAGTCAATCACGGAGCACCAAAGTACAGATGTGCGCTAACACGAAGGGGGAATAACATAATCGAATGCAATTCTATTTAATGGCTACTCAGGATTCGTGGCTGGTGTTCAGAGTAATTATCCCACATAGAAACTGTTTGACCGACCAGAGTGGAACACTATTGGTCGAAACGAGTTGATACAAGCACATACAATTACCAGAGAAAATCGGAGAAATTACTAATAAACGAGGTCACTGAATTCGATTTAGATAACAATTAACTAACCAAGGAGGCCCGTAGACCGAGAACGATGGTTCCACAAACTGATGATAGCCTTACGTGCTAGACTTGCATAAAGCGGTTCCTGTAGAAGCAGGCTGAGGGTACCCATTTCCAAGAGAAGGGTTCCAGCACCAGCCAGACAGGAATGCTGCTTTCCCAGTGTCTCAACCGACCTCCAGCCCAAATGAATTCTGGGAAATGGAATACCAGTTGGTGATCCCTTTCAAAAATTGCAAAGTAGACAGCACTTTTAGTTTATGATTATTAAACAAAACTGCAACAGCTAATAATCTCTGCTCGTGTATTCAACCAGATACTCGCTAAGTTAAGTTTAACTATTTAAATCGATTCCTGAAAGCACTGAGTAACCGATTCAGATAATTTCTTTCAAAAAGTATTGAAGTTGTGGTCAATAACTTACTTTGAACGCAATAAGGAGTCTGTCAGACAGATTTTTTGCGAGATAAAGAAGCTCATCATTATAATTCTCCGGCCGCAGTTCCCCGAATCTCTTGTGAGGGTCAGTAATAAGTAAGTGAGCCGATAGTAACCCCCCGACGATCCTTTACAATCTTGAACGAAGAATAAAGAGACGTACCTTATATTTGCCTCAAATACTTGCACTATGGTGTCTTTGTTAAAAGACAATGACTTGGTAATCAAATTCACGGCCCTTTTAAATTCGGTTGCGTTACCAAAAACCTAAGCATTTATAATTAGCGCTTAAAATGACAAACAGCAAGTGAATCAAGCGAATCCACGAGTGTAAGTTGGTAATTTCCAAGTACATCATTAATGTTGATGTTGGTTCGATCAGTGAAGTCATGACCCCGTCCCCGACAATGAACGGGGTCGAGTTCATCTTCTGGATACGCATACTTCATGTAATTATCGTATCCAAAATAAAACATCTCGCGAACTTTCCGGAGCATTTTGGCAGATTCTCCTGATGCGCTGGCCAACCACATGGTCTGAACGTTTGTAAAAAATAGCAGGAAAACGGCGGGGAATGTGAGTAGCATAAGTGAAGTGATCACAGCCCTCTGAAAGAGAAAGCAACAGTGTAGAAATCAATTCACGAAAAAGGATAAATGTGCTCACTCAATGACCGTTCTCATGTTGTAGACATTTTATTCAAGTTTATACCGCGCTCGTTCATACTGACCTCATAGCAGACATTATTAAAATTCCACAATTGGCAAAGTAACCATCCCAATAAACAATACTTTTCCGACAATAGATTCAAGTACGCTTTGATCGTCTCGGTATGTGATGGAGTTGAACAGAGACCGGTTGGACGTAATACAAAGTTCAACACACATATTCTAGTCGTCAAACCGTGTAGAATACCCCAGCCACATCAAGGAATAAGGCGAAAAGAATCGAAACACAAATTGATTTCTGAGAGCTAATCACGTCAAAAATAGACAACTAATCCAAGACCACACAAGTTCACTCTCATTGGTTTGTCAACACCTATAGACCTTCAAAAAAACAGTTGTGTAAACAGGAAATAATCGAACAACGGGGGATAGCTACCAAGAGGAACATGCAAGTACAGTCCTTTGACCTTAGCCCGTGTAAAAAAGCACATACTTCTGATTTGATATCCGATCTAAAGGCAAATCAAAAAGATTTAGCACGAGCATCAAGAAAACTTCTCATGGCGCAATAACCTACGTCTGAACTAAGCAAGTGACAAACATTTAAACGTTTTAATGACAAGAATTTGAACTTAAGAGAGAACAAGTGTTGCTCCGCAATTCCAAACTCCATATGAGAAATAAACTTCTACGAACAAACAAAGTTTGTTAAAACGATTAGTAAGGAAAAAATGGTCGTACGAGAATTTCAAAGGCCGCAAAAAATATAAAAGGCACCACGCATCAGCCACCAACACTTTATTCAAATTACGATTAGCCAATGGATGAGCAATTGTTATTTATTTAAAAAATTGTCCCAATGACCAACAATCGCAGAATGCAACTAAACAGATTAACCACCGGGTTCACGAATGATGAAATTAAATTGACATCTACTAAAGCTTTGTCTAAAAACGGAATGAAGAGGCTTACACTACTTTAAATTTTCCAATTTCTAAAATTTACAGAATTACACCTATTAATGTTAATCTTTATTAATAGTTTCCCTGCAGTTAATTATTAAGAACATGAATAACAAATCTAAGTATTTAAATATTGACTATATAT